AACCTGGAGCCGCGCTCACGCGCGGCTCCACTTGGTGGCAAGCGAATTTCCCGCTTGCCACCAACAGTAACTTGCCACCAGCCGGGGATACGACCTTATGCGCCCCACACATAACCCCCCACACCTTTCCCCACACACCTTTCCCCCCATACCTTTTCCCACACACCTTAGAACCCACACCTATTCCCACGCACCTATCCCCGCACACCAGCCTCCTCACACCACACTTATCCCCCCACACCTATCCCTTCACAATTATTTCCCTCACACCTGTCCCCAATACCTATCCCCCACTCCATTCCCACCACTCCATTCCCCCCACACCATTCCCCCAGTACCATTCCCCCCGCACCATTCCCCCCACACCATTCCCCCTGCACCATTCCCCCCAACCTATCCCCCCACACGTATACCTGCTCGCACACATGCCTCCCTTCAGGCAACTTGATGAAGGCGGGCTGCTTGCACCCTCGCACACACACCTACATGCTCGCATTGTACTCTCACTCACACATTATACTCTCTCACTCACACATTGTAATCTCACTCACATACTGTACTCTTACTCACACATTATGCTCTCACTCCCACACTGTACTCTTACTCAAACATTGTAATCTCACTCATACACTGTACTCTCACTCACACAGTATACTCTCACCCACACAATATACTCTCACTCACACACCGTACTCTCACTCACACACCGTACTCTCACTCACACTGTCCTCTCACTCACAAACTGTAATCTCACTCACACGCTGTACTCTCTCATTGACACTCTGCACTCTCTCCCTCACACACTGTGTTTTCTCCCTCGCACACTATGACGGCAGACTTCTGAGAGCACATGACGCACGCATCCACATCTCCTTGTACTCATCTGCACCACATGCAGACAGCTATCCCGTCACATACACCCGTTTCCTCACACATGTCCGCTCCACACACGCCACCCTGCATGCGACCCAGCCAGGGAGGTGCTCAAGGACGGGCTGCTGGAGCTGGCAGGTTTCAATGCGCATGTCACATGCACTTCCATATCCCCTCGTACCCATCCCCATCCCGTCACACCTATCCACTCAAACATGCCACTCTGCAGGCGACCCAGCAAGGGAGGTGCTGAAGGACGGGCTGCCGAAGCTGGTCGGCTTCTGTAAGCATGTGACACGCACGTTTGAATCCGCTTTTGACAAGTAGAGGAGCGGCAGCGAGGCGAAGAAGTGGAGGAGGAAGAGGAGGAAGAGGAGGCAGGAGAGGATGAAGGGGATGATTAGGACATGCATGATGCATCTTGAAACTGTGCTGCTGGTACAACTATCTCGTATTGTTCACCCTAGTGCTGTCATAACAAAAATAAACCTTGAGTGTGCTCAAACCAGCAGACGTGTCAGTCGGTGGGACAAGGAGGGGAGGATTAGCATCAGGGAAGGCCGGCTCTGCAGAGGTAGACGGAAGACAAAGAACCTGGTGAAGTGTCAAGCCAGTTGGTGGCAGTGATGACTACGACTGGTCCCAGAAGAACGGGCGCCGTGGTCGCGGCTGCGCAGCACCCCCAGAACCTCCTGCTCGAGTACCTCTAGTACCAGAACCACCAACACCTCCAGCTCTAGCACCTCCAGTACCAAAACCTCCAGTACCTCCAGCTCCAGCACCTCTGGTACTTCCAGCTCCAGTACCTCCAGCACCAGAACCACTAGCTCCAGCACCTCCAGTACCTCCAGCTCTAGTACCTCCAGCACCAGAAACTCTAGCACCTCCAAATCCAACACCTCAAGTACCAGAGCCACCAGCTCCAGCACCTCAATTACGTCCAGCTCCAGGACCTCCAGTACCTCCATCTCCAATACCTCCAGCACCAGAACCACCAGCTCCAGCACCTCCAGTACTTCCAGCTCTAGTACCTCCAGCACCAGAAACACCAGTACCTCCAGCTCCAGTACCTCCAGAACCACAAGCAACGGGCTCAGGAAGTGGCAGCGACGACTGCTGCTGCTCCCAGAAGAAGGGGGATTGCAGCAGAGGCTGCAACGCACCCGCAAAACCTCCAGCAGTAGTACCCTCGATTCCACCACCACTATGACACTCAGCACCCCCCAGAACCATCACCTCCAGAGGCAGCACCCCTAGACCCAGCACCCCCAGTGCCCACACCTCCAGCGTCACCACCCCCAGCAGCACCGGAGTCCACAGCGACTGGGTGCAGAGGCGGCGAAGACGGCCAAGGCGGAAAACCAGGAGGGGTCTCCAGGCAGGGGGAGCGGCAAGAGGCTGCCGTGTCATCAGCAACATGTTCACCCCCTTCAGCCGGGCCAACGGGGTCTGAGGAGACCTCCAAAGGCTCAACCAAGGGGGGTGGTGTGACCTGAGACATACCTGAGGGAGAAGGACGCGAAGGGGCGGGGGGAAGGGGGTCTACCGGGGGGTAACCTAGAACCAGGAAGAGGGGTGGGGGGGGCACCAGGGAACTACAGTGGAGGAAGAGATGGTAGTAGCAAACCGGTCGCGGGAGGACAGGATGCGGCACGTGACCGGGTGGTAAAGCTGCCAGTTAGGGGCGTCGTCATGAAAGCCAAGGAAGACGCAGCGAATGGGGCGAGGGGAGAGCTTGCCCGCCGTAGAATCGCAGGCAAGGGCAACGAACCCCAGACTTGAAACGCCCATGCATCGCCAACCTCCCCCGTCCAAAGCAGGCTAGGCGAGATCTCCGGCAGGGAGACGCGGAGCCAGAAGTTGAGCTGATGCGCAGCGTATCGGACCGTTAACGGCCACATAAAATGGGGAGCAGCCGCATGGATCATGGAGGTGCGAGCAACCTTCAAGATCAAGTCAATGCGGCGCTCAGCAGGGCAGCAGAGCAGGGCAGTGCGACGGCCTGGAGCAAGGCAGCGCGACAGCTCGGGGAAGGGCAGTACGGATGCACGGGGCAGGGCAGCGCGGACGCGCGGGGCAGGGCAGCGTTACGGCGTAGGGGCAAGGCAGCGCGTCGGCGCGGGGCAGGGCAGCAGGGCAGCAGTGCGCTGGGAAGCAGCACCTTGGGCAGCGGGGCGCACGGTGCAGCAACACACACGGCAGCGGCGCGCGGGGCAGCGAGACGCGTGAGGCAGCGGCGCGAAGGGCAGCGGCGCCCGAGGCAGCAGCGCGCTGGGCAGCGAGGCGCGCGAGGCAGCAGCGTGCAGGGCAGCGGCGCGTAGTGCAGCGGCGCGCAGGACGGTGGCGCGCGCAGTGCAGCGGCGTACAAGGCAGCAGTGCGCGAAGCAGCGGTGCGAAAGGCAGGGTAGCGTAGGGCAGAGTGATAGCGTGGGGCAGTACCACGACTGTAGCAGTGCCGGGCAGTAGGAACGGACTTAACCTAGCGACTAATACCATGTCAAGAAGTGTAAACAGCGGAATGGTGTTTGGCTAACAGAATGGGAGTACAAGTAGGAAACCCTAGAAATCTGGACCCCGTAAGACTAGCCCCGCTGTAGTCTAACAATATATGAACATGCAGTTTTGACAAAGGGTTCACTTCACTCTTATCTTTCTGCGAGTTGGATTAAAATCCTCACCAAAACCGAGTGGTGAGATGAAACTAGAAAGGATATAATAAGGAAATTAACCGGTATGCCAGCCTCCACCAATACAAACATCCCTCAGGAAGTCGGTGCTGGCCCTCTTTATTGTACAACTTGACACACCCACTAGTGTTCAAAATCACAAGCACCAGCTTGTTATAATCCCAATGGGGACGTAGTCAGGATCGGCTCAGGGTTGACCACATAGATATTACAGCGGAAGTAGTGACCTCAAGTCAGAGTGAATGTAAACGACTGAAGTGATTATAGCCGATGCATACATTGGTTCATATAGAAATACAAACGAATACGAAAGGTCCTAACTAGCCATGTACTCTAAGGGGTACATTCTCTTACGATAGTGAGATTCAGCCGTGTGGCGCGTAAACCCGTTTCAAACATGTTACTACCGTTTCCCATTCAAATGTTCCGGCCTGCATCAGCCCTTGCATGACAACCGCTTCCGTCGCTTCGGCTCGCCCGACTCCTCGACTTCGTACTCGGTAGTGTTGGCTCCTGTTGCGTACAGGAATGTATTCTCATACAATCCATATCGCAACACAGCTCTCCCAAATCTTCAAGTAAAGCTCTATCTCTTTGCAATACTCCAAATCCATAATCTTTAGCCTACTGAGCCAAGAAAAGTCACGAGGAGAAGTGATGGAGCCATGATGGACCCTTAGTTCACAGAGGCAAGACAGCTGAGTGAGGGACGCAGGGAGGTAACACGGTGACTCAGCTTTCATATAATTTTAGGAGATATGACTAGACTGGGAAGTGCGCTCCTATTTGAAAATCGCCAAAATCCAAAACCCGCAGCTGTTGAAAATGGTGGCTTCTGTCTTGCCGCTGTGTCTGTGGTCCCTCTTTGCATACAACAACTGCTCCCTGCTCCTTGCTCCCTACTCTCTGCTCCCTGCTGACTGCTGTGCTCCCTACTCTCTCAGGTCACCTCTTTCTGTGTTCCACTTCCACCTCGTTACCCTCTCACGTGTGTCTGAAGCTAGGGTTTGTGCAATTTCCCTCCACCGCACTCTCGCGGGCTGTGTTTGGAACCTATAAGAGATTTCATTTGAAAAATGAAGAATGGGTTTCTGTAAAAAAATGCTACCGTATTTGGTTCTCGTGACAGAACTGCCTGGCGGGCAGAAGTAGGCGTGGGATGGAGGTCGGGTGTCGCAAGTTTGAACTTACGGGACATGAAAAGCAGTAAGTATTATGCATATGTAGTTTATAGCTTTACAAGTATAGACCACACACGTCACTGAATTAGAATGGCGTGTATGTACGCACATTTGTAGCTATACCTTACCACGTATGAGAGTAATCTCGTAACAGTCTCCAGACTAGCTTACTCATACGTGCACCGGAGTGAAACAACAAAGCACTAACCACATACCGTATAACGCTTACAAATGCCAGACAACACCACCAAACCGTCTCCTACAATTTTATACCAACCCGTTTGGCCCAGTGCAATATATCCGAATAAATCTGATCCCCACCAATCTCTGCACCCGTGGCACCAGCGGCAACCCGCAAAATATCCTCAATGAGTGCAAAGTTACCCATGATGTCCACATGGCTGCCGCTCTGAGTGCTCCTGCCTGCCAGCAGCCCCGAGGTGGGGCGGTGCTCGTACTCCCTCAGGAAGGTGGGCGAGGCGGCGGGGTTGAAGCGCGTGCGGCCGCGCCACAGCTTGGCGCACGGCAGCCCCATGGAGAGCACGGGTGCTGTCTCGTCACCGTCTGTGAAGTATGCCCCCTCTGTCAGACAGTCCCCCGCCTGATGGAAGGTTGGGAGGGGAGAGGGAGACGGGAGGGGAAAACGGGGAAGGAGTTTGGTGGCGAAGGGAGTAAGGGGTTGTTGATTTAGGATGGGTTTTGGATTTCATCCATGATCACTTCCAGCTTGGCGCAGGCTAGCCCCATGGAGAGTACTGGGGGGCGTCTCGTCTCCGTCTGTAAAAAATGCCCCTTCTTTCAGTCAGTCCCCCGCCTGATGATGGGAGGGAGAGGGTGTGGGGAAGCAGGTGGGGTGCGGGAGGGGAAAATTGGGGAAGAAGGGGGTGGGTGGTGAAGGGAGTAAGGGTTTGTTATAGTTGAGGAATGGGCAGTGAGGGTCAGAGAGGGGCAGAGAGGTTTCGGTGGGGCGTGTTCCAGCCCGGCACAGGGCAGCCCCAAGGAGAGCAACGGCACTGTCTGCTCTCCGTCCGTGAAATATGCCACTTCTGTTAGACAGTCTTCCACCTGATGGTGCAAGGGAGGGAAGGTGCCCAGATTCTACCCACCTGCCCCACATGCCGCCCATCTGTCCCACATTGCAACCATCTGTCCCACATTGCACCCATCTGTCCCACATTGCACCCATCTGTCCCACATTGCACCCACCTGTCCCACATTGCACCCACCTGTCCCACATTGCACCCACCTGTCCCACATTGCACCCACCTGTCCCACATTGCACCCACCTGTCCCACATTGCACCCACCTGTCCCCCATTGCACCCACCTGTCCCACGTTGTGCCTACCTGCCCGGGCGGTCCATTGGCAGAGGCGTCGATGCGGAAGGGGATGAGGCAGGTGTCGTTGGAGGGGGAGAGGCGGTACACATACGCCCTTTCTGTCAGCAGGCCCGTGCCATATGCGCAGAAGATCTCCATTTCCGGGGCATCGGGCAAGCTGGCAGGTGGGAGAGCAGGGAGACAGGGGGGTACGCATGGAGGGGGAGTACGGATGAGGCACGAGCGCATGGGAGATGCCGTGAATGCGGAGAGTCACTCTACACCAAGGACCTGGACTACGGGGGAAGACACAGGTGGTACGAGTGATCGTAGCGTTACTTGTGCTTTTTAGCACTTGCGTGTTCACAGGACAATTGGCAAGAGTTTCACTTGCAAGAAGAAAATACACAATAATAGCAATGACAATGACAAAGTGACTACAACTGGGACCTAACAGCCTAGCAACCACGTAGGTCGACCTTCAGCGCAGCACGGAGGCGGCTGCCAGCGTAGCAAGTCAACAGCGTGTCAACGCAGCTGGGAGGCAGCTTGCCAACACTGCAAGTCGACGACCTGCCAACGCTGCACTAGGGCAGCTTGCGAACGCTGCAACAAGGCGGCTTGCTAGTGTCGAAGCTGCACGCAAGTGCCAAGTCGGCCACGTGCCGACAGTTCGCAAGATGCACCACGTCGACAACGTGACGCTGCACGTCGGTCGACTTCGCCACAACCACCCGAGGCGAAACTCACACTCCTGCCAAGTTTCGTAGTCGATCAGATTTAGTCGACCAACCCGACGCTGCTCAGCGTTCGCCGAGACGAGCTCGTGGAACGGAGCTCCTGGACAGACTTCGCGGTCAGCGCTTCTCGACGAGCTCGTCGACCACTATCGTCGACCAACGACTTCCGTCGACGTCATCGACCGGTCCCCCTCGAGCACAGCCTGCTCGACCACCACCTCTGTCGAACTGCATGAGCCCACTCAAGGCCGCTTCGTCAATCCTCCTCGGCAACATCGAGAACGGATGTGCCCAAGCGAGGGCGGGGTCTTTCTCTTCGACATTCCCGGCCCAGCTTACGCTTGGGCACCCAGAAGGATAGTGTAATAGGGGATACTCCGTCGGCGTGCACACCCAGTACAGCACGCCATTCATCCCACCAGCCGTGTTGAAGGACAGGCGCCTACTGCTCTACGTCGTCGTCGCCGTCGGCCAGGCGCACTTTTCCGATCACGATGGGGCACCGGTTGAAGGCCGAAAAGTGCAACGTCTTCGTGAGAAAGTCGGCCGGCTCCTCGGTGGTCGAGATGTAGAGCAGCGCAACCTTCTTGCGCTCGACCATCTGCTGCAGCCAGACGTAGCGGTGCTGCATGTGTTCGAGGTTGCCTTTCAGCCCCAAGTCTTCACCGACTGCGATAGCCAATTAGTTGTCCACATTCAAGACGGTTGGCATCCCAGCGTCGAGTAGCTGGAACTCGGCAAGGAGGAAGCGAGGGCGGTGTGCCTCTTTGCTGGCTTCGATGGATGCGATGTACCCCGACGCCGTCGACGAGAACGTCACGCACTTAATGCCTTGGCTCGTCCAGGAGACGACGGCCCCGCCGAAGGCGAAAACGTAGCCGTTCGTGCTACTTCGCATCTGCTTGTCGCCGGCGTCGTCGGCGTCCGCGTAGCCGACTAGACATAGCGACCCTGGTCCGCCGTCGAACTACACGGCTGCATCATGTGTGTCGACGAGATAGTTGAGGCAGCGGTGGACCTCACGCCACTGCGGGTCGCTCCGCACAGTCAGGCCGGACCCCGACTTGCTGCACGCGAAGGCGATGTCGGGCCTTGTCGTTATGGCGGCGAACTGGAGCGAGCCGACCTTCTACCGAACTCCTCTTCCTCGCGCGACTGAAACTCCTCGTCATCGATCGTCTGCTCGGCGTGGGCGTCGACCGGTCTGCTCCTCGTCGATGAAACGCCTGCGCAGCTTGTCAACGTATGGATGTTGGTGGAGCAACAGCTTCCTCGCCGATCAGTCACGCAAGATCTCCAACCCCAGATACTTCTCGACCGGGCTGTACTCACATAGCTCGAAGGCACCTCCAGCAGCTCGCGCAATTCCTTCAGCATCGACGGGCTGCTGCTGGCAGCAAGCAGGCCGTCGACGTAGACGAGCACCCAGCAGGCCACTCCGCCGCCCCAACCGGCACCGGACAGTACGACGCCGAGCGCCAAGTACCATAGTAATGGCGACTGCTTGAGGCCGTACAAGCTCTTCAACTACTTGCTTACGCGGCCGGTCCCGTCGTTGTAGTAGTCGGGCTGGCTCATGTAGAGCACTCACTCGAGCTTGCTTTGTAGGAATGCGTTCTCCATGTCGAGCTGCATCAGGTGCAGGTAGAGGACGGCAATGATTCTGAGGAAGATCCGCAGCGTGACGCAGCTCCAGACCGGCGTGTACACCTGCGTGAAACTTTTCACGATCAAGCGCGCTTTCTCCCGGGCGACCGTGTTGTCGACGTGGCACTTGGTCATCAGCACCCAGTGGTTCTTCATCACGTTGCAGACGCTCGACCAGCTCCCACGTGTTGTTCGCGAAGAGACTTAGAATCTCCATGTACATGGCGGCCTTCACCGCCTTGCCCTTCCAGCTCGCCTACGCCTCCTTGACCGTCATGGTCGCAATGTCCCATCGCCTCTCCGGGTCAGCGTGCATGTTGGAGTCGAGCTTGGGTAATTCGACGTCGGCCTGCACGTCGTCAAGCAGTGTGCTGTAGGCAGTCGGCGGCAGGCAAGCATGGCAGCCCCACTTTTTTAGAGGCTTGCCAAGGTTGGGGCGGGTGGACCGTCGCGGTTTGGGCTCGTCAACCGCCACGTCGCTGTCGTCCGACTGAAACCTTGACGACAGCTCCCCTTCGTCGTCATCGCCTTCGCCTTCGCCAAGCTGCTCCCCCATCGTCGGCTTCCCGAACGACGTCTCCTTTGCCGACAGCTTCTCTGCCAGCTTCTCCCCTGTCAACAGACTTCTCCACAAGTTGCTTGACGTCACGTCGGCCGCCGGCGATGCCACTGGCCGGCACCACAGGCGACGCATCTTTTCTCCCCTCATCGCCGGTGGCCGACAGAGGCGGCGGCTTAAGCGAGTCGGCGACGAGGGGCAGAGGAGTGATGGTTGCGGGGAAGCGACGAGCCACCAACGGCGGGGTAGCGGGAAAAATAGAAGGAGGGGGAGAGTGTCCTTAGCGTCCCCGGTCGTTATCCTCGGCGAGCATGGGGAGATTATTCGACGACGGCGTCACTAATTTCATCGTCGCTGAAGTGAAATTAGTCGGCGGGGTAGCCTGGGTATGCACCGATGTCAGCCCATGCTCCGTCTTCCATACTTCCAGCGGCAAAATCTCGTAGAAGATCGCCTCGACCGTAGTGACCACCTTGTTGTCGGTAAGGTCGACGACCTCCCACCTTTGCTCTCTAGCGACGCACTGAGGTGAAGCCCCCACCGAGCCTTCGGCGCCAGCTTCCCGCCATGCTGCTACTCAAGAACCATGAACTGCACGTTGCAGCCCTACACGTGTGCCAACGTGAGGTCCGACTTCTTGTCCGTCAGCAGATCGTGCAGCGTCGTCACCGGCGGCAGAGGAGCCCACTCCAGGGAGTTGCATACCCAGACAGCCTGACGCAGGGCGAGGTGCAACCAGTGGTGCTTCAAGCCCATGTGAAGCAGCATCCTTCGCACGGCCTCGACGACCGTGCACATCATCGCTCTGCCATGCCGTTCTGCTAAGGGGTGTAGGGGCAGGTCAAGTCGTGGACGTTTTCCTTATGGTCGACGAAGTCGATGAACTTCTTCCCCAGGAATTCACCCCTGTGGTGAGAGCGAAGAATCTTAACCTTCTTCGCCGTCTGCCGCTCCACGACTTTCAGCCACTTCTCGAACACCAGCAGCACGTCGCCCTTTTTGGCGATCGATCGAATCCACACATAGCGGGTCTTCCTGTCCTTGAGCAGAAGGAAGTTCAGGCTGCCATCCTTGGCGACCACACAAAACGGCTCACTAAGGTCGATGTGGATGACGTCGAGGGCGTTCTCGGGCTCCGAGCCCTTATCAAGGAAGGTGTGCTGCGCCAGCTTGCCACCAACGCAGAAGACACACATCATGTCGGCTCTTGTCGAAGGCTTGACGTCGAAGTCGAAAGCAACCCCATGCTTCGCCAAACTCTTGATCATGTTGACGCCGACGTGCGCGAGCCGAGCGTGCCACACGTAGGGCGTTGATTTTATCTCCAAGACGATTGTTTGCAGGGTCATTGTTCCTGTCGTGGTCGACGACGACCTCGTCGAGTAGGGGCAAAGGTCGGTGCAGAGGACCCGGTTGGTGTAGCGTGCTCAACCGAGCACATCTCCTACAGACGACACGAGCAGAATCATGTTGCCCTCATCCTGCAGCTTCACGGTGGTGCTCACGCAGCCCTCCGGTGGCAGCACATCTCCTGCGTGGAAGTGAGCTGCGAGGCGCAGCACATTTCTTGCAGACGACATCGCCTGGAAGTCTTTTCGCTGGCTTCCTTCGTCGACGCCGTCTTCTTCGAAGCCTGTGTCTTGCGCGACCTGTTAAATCGGCGTTGACGTCGGTCGTTGGACCTCCCACGACCACCCTTGTGGTCGTCGTCGGACTCCTCGCGTTCGGGAGTGTCGTAGGAGAGGTGGTCGGGGTCGCCACAGACCCAGCACTCGCACTATCCTCGACGCAACCCTCCTCCACCACGGTCCTTGTCCCGAGCCGACTTCGTTCGATCGGCGTCCGTCGCCGACATCCCACCTCCAGTGCCATTTCTGTCCGGCTTCCCATGTTGCCCATGCTGACGTCCCTGCTTCGACGAGGCGATGTAGTTGGACTGTGGAAGGAGCTCCGTGGGCCGCTCTCACTCCTGCATGAATTTGTCGTTGATGATGTGGCTCGACAACGAGTCCTCGTTGAGAGTTTCACACACACCGAAAAGTGCCAACATCCGGCATCAGGTTGTGACCCATCGAGAGGCACTTGACAACGTGGCGACGTACGACGTCATCGAGTACTCGACGCCAGCCATCCGAAGGTCGGTCAGGATCCGTCGAGCACGGTTGCAGTACTTGGACGACGACACATGCTCGCCCATCCGTTGCTCTAGTTACCCGATGTACAAGTCGTCGGTCAACTTGTACGTTCGCATGATAAATTATCATGCTTGGTAGTCAACCAAAAGTCAACAAAGTTCCAGGGCATCCGGCACCATCGACGAGCAGCATCGCGAGACGACCATGAAGGTCAGCTGTTGAGCGGCGCGAAACTCCGACCACATCTCGACATCCTCCTCGTCCGGGGCCGGCTCGTCGCCGTCGACGAACTTCTTCAGTCTGGCGATCTCCAGCTGCGGCTCAATCGACTCCGTCCATGTTAGGAGGTCATGTCGACCTCCCAACAGCTTAAGCACGGCAATCTTGTCGGGCGAGAATTCGAAGTGGTTGTACGCCAGCGGAATGCATCCATCTCGACCAGCAGGCGCATGGGTCGCCGAAGTCCGCCTGACTCCACTCTGCTAGGGAGAACGACGTCATGCGTCGTCGCCGACGTCGTCAGCAACCCGAATAACTCCTCGAATCACACTCGTGCTCTTGTTGCTGACTTGGTTGGCACCTCTTTCGTTGCGTACGGTCGAGGAGAACTGGACGCACTGTCAACTTCAGGTCAGGGAGGGGGATGGTCGCACGAGTGCCTAGGAGCATCACCTCCGAGCTCGCCTCGCCAAATTGCCCGCTTCGTGGCGTCGTCGAACATCAGCCTCCCATACCACTAAAAAATCATCTACGCCTGTGGCTTCTCCCAGGGTGACCACCATGGTCGACACTGCTGCAGGCCTAACAACGACTTAGGTAAAACGCAGCTACGTCGACTACAATCTGAAGGTATCTTGCAGGGTCGTCCATGCTCACCGCACCATGTGGAGAGTCACTCTGCACCAGGAGCTGGACTACGGAGGAAGGCACGGGTGGTACGAGTGATCGTAGCGTTCTTTATGTTCTTTATATTGGCAAGAGTTTCACTTGCAAAAAGAGAATACACAATTATAACAATGACAACGACAAAGTGACTGCATCTCGGACCTAACAGCCTAGCAACCAGGCAGGTCGACCTACAGCGCGGCACAGAGGCAGCTTGCCACGTGACGCTGCACGTCGGTCGACTTCACCACAACCACCCGAGGCGAAACTCGCACATTTGTCAAGTTTCGTAGTCGAGCAGATTCAATCGACCAACCCGACGCTGCTTTGTCTCTAGTGGTTCGCCCAGTATTTGGTCTCTTTTCCGCCCCCACAAATGCTTGAATGCTCCCACGCACACACATGCTCTCACCTCTTCTCTGCACCCCACTCACCTTAGTCAACACACGTACCTGGTCTCCAGTGGGTTCGCCCAGTATTTTGGCTCCTCCGCATACTTCCTCTCACTCAAATCCTCCGCAATGCCGTAGCTCCAGTTCTCATCCGCCCGCGCCATAGTCTTGGGCGCCACATGCCTCAGCAGCCCCAGAATTCCGCCCGACGGCCCGTCGCTCTCGTCGCCCGCCGTGTAGAAGGGGCAGTTGGCGATGTCTTTCAGAGCGTGCCAGCTCATGTCGTGATATTCCGTCCACACCTCGCCGCACGACTTGTTGCGCGACTGCAGGTGCTGAAACACTGTCTCCTCCAGCTGCCGCTGCCACTGCTTGCGCCGACTCTCCCTCTCGGGAGCCTTCCCTTCCTTCCCTTCTGCCTCGTCCTTCTCCCCTTTCTCCCCCTTCTCCCCTCCGACACCCACCCCGCCCCTCCCCTCTGCCCCGTTATAAGCAGTCTCGTCACTGTACTCGTCATCGCCCTCGGGCAGTAAGTCCTGCATGGCACAGCTACAGGGGTCAGAGAGAACGTACTGCTGCCCCCCCCACGTGGCAGGGCAGGTGGAGGCGGCAGGGCACATGGCTGCTGCTGCCCTGGCTGCTGCCTTGGCGCCTGAGGGACACACCAGGGACTCCGAGAGCGTGGCTGATGCTTCTCCAAATGACACCTGGTGAGGGGGAGAAGGGGGAAAAGGGGAGGGACACAGGAGAGAGAAGAGGGCAAACAGGAGAGTAAGGTGTGGCAGGGTAGGGCACGTGGCTGCTGCCTTGGCGGCTGAGGGACATACGAGGGACTCCGAGAGCGTGGCTGATGCTTCTCCAAATGACACCTGAAGGGGAGGGGAGGAAGGGGGAACGCGAGGGGGGGATAGGAGTACATGAGTGCTGCTGCCTTGCCGCCTGAGGGGCATACCAAGGACTCGTTTTAAGTGGTTGATGCTGCTCCAAAGGACACCTGCAGGAAGGGGATGAAGAGAGGGGGGGTTAGGAAGATGAAGAGGGGGGCTTAGGAAGATGAAGAGGGGGGCTTAGGAAGATGAAGAGGGGGGCTTAGGAAGATGAAGAGGGGGGCTTAGGAAGATGAAGAGAGGGGGGCTTAGGAAGATGAAGAGAGGGGGGCTTAGGAAGATGAAGAGAGGAAGGCTTAGGAAGATGAAGAGAGGGGGGCTTCGGAAGATGAAGAGAGGGGGGCTTAGGAAGATGAAGAGAGGGGGGCTTAGGAAGATGAAGAGCGGGGGGCTTAGGAAGATCTTTCATCTTCCAGAGCGTGGCTTGCCAGATCTTTCAAAACCAAAATGGTTTCGTCCAAGACAAGTCAAGCTAATCAAGACCAATAATGCTGTGCAGGGAAACATGGAGAACGTGATGCAAACACACAAATGGATGTGTGGATACATAATGGCTCACCATGCGTCCAAACCACGCCCGCCGCTCGCTCGTCTCAAGGTCGTAGCTCCTTGCAGTTGCCTTTGCTTCATCTTCCTCCCCCTCGTTGCCACTCCCCTCTGAGTGAGCGCCAGCAGCGGAGGCAGAAGAAGCAGAGGAGGAGGAGGAAGACGACGCTGAGGAGGCCGAGGAGGCAGAGGATGAGGCCCCTTCCGCCATCAGAGTGCGTAAAAACCCTTCCACTCCCAGCCCCTTGCCCGCCCCTCTCACCCTCCCATCCCCCCCTGCCTTGGAGCTATTCCCCCCACTCTCCCCCGCCTGCTGCTGCAGCTGCTTGGCGCGTGCCTTGGAGCAGTTGAAGGAGTCCTCTGGCGCCCACGTGGCGTTGCCCCACACCGCCTCGCCTCCCTTGGGCAGCATGCTCATGGTGGCATCCCACGTGCGCGACACCCGCATCACATGCTGCAGCGCCTGCAGGCTCCCAAACACCCCCGGGTCGAGCGCTCTGTTTGGAAAGGTGGAGATGTGGGGCGGGTGGGGAGGGGGAAAAAAGGCGAAGGGGAGCGGGTGAGGAAATGGGGTGAAACTGGGTGCAGAACGGTGGGATGAAAAGGCTCTCAAACACGCCTGGGTCTCACGCCCTGCTTGGGAGGGCGGGCGGGCACGAGGCGAGAGTGAGTGGATGCATAACGGAGGTAATGAAGGGTGAAAGTGGGTGCAAAATGGTGGGAGTGGGTTGGTTGGGAGGGCAGGTTAGCAGGCAGGCACCACCCGCCGCCCTTCCCCTCTTGTAACCTGAGGACGGTTACAGTGAACGGTCCAGTGAACGCCTTGAGCACACTGAGAATGGGCATTCCAATGTTGAAGACTGCTCGGATGGGCATTCCAATGCTCAAGACTGCTCGGATGTGGTCCAGCACTCACCCAACCACCGCCCTTCCCGTCCTCCCCTACTGCAATGCTCGCAATCTCCTCTCTTCTACCTGATAGCTACCACGTCCTTGGCTTCTGCTATGAACAGCCCAGTGAACGCCCTGGGTGCGCCAAGGAGTGCCCCCCCACCCGCTGATGTTGAAGACAGCTTGAATGTGATCACACACCCACCTTGGCCACCCACCCCCGACCCAAGGAGGTACCTTCCGAAGTTGACAACTGCCCAGATGTGATAATGCACCCACTCACTCACCAGCCATCGAGCCCTCTACAACAAATGTGAGCTCACCTAATAGCCGCCACGTCCTTGGCCTCTGTGGAAAACAGTCCAGTGAACGCCTTGGGTCCACCCAGCAGCGGCCCTCCAATGTTGAAGACGGCTCTGATGTGATCGTGCACCCACCGCAGCCCCCCTCCCCCTCCTCCCCTACTGCTGTGGTTGGTTGCAACCTCCTCACCTGATAGCCGCTACATCTTTAGCTTCTGCTGAGAAAAGACCTGTGAACGCCTTGGGTGCGCCCAGGAGAGGCCCTCCGATGTTGAAGACAGCTCTGATGTGATCGTGCACCCACCGCGGGCCCCCTCCCCCTCCCAGGGGCGCTGGTGCTTCGACCCACTTGATGAAGAAGAGGAAATAGAGCACTCCCATGGAGTGTGGCACCACCACGGCTTTCCTGCCCTCGTTTGTCTAAAAGTGGGCAAATGGAGTGTACAGGAAAGAGGAGTGGGGAAAGGGAGATGTGTCAAGGGGTATGAAGAAAAGAGAAAGGAAGGAGGGGCGGAAGTAGGGCGCGCCCCATGGAGTGAGGCACCCACTTCCTCCCCCTCCCAGGGGCGCAGGTGCTTCAAAAGACTTGATTGAAGAAGAGGAATTAGAGCACCCCCATGGAGTGTGGCACCACCACGGCTTTCCTGCCGTCATTCGTCTGCAAAAATGACAGTGGGAAGTGGGTGGAGGGGAGGGGACGAGGGATATGAAGGAGTAGGAGAAAGATGAGGAGGAAGTAGAGCACCCCCATGGAGTGTGGCACCACCAGTGCCTTCTTGCCCTCGTTTGTGTGCAGGGAGGTGGAGGCAAAGGGAGATGTACCAAGGGGTGAGAAGCGGAGAGGAGAGGACGTAAGAAGAGGAGGGTGCAGAGCACGGCCATGCGGCGAGGGACTACCGCGGCCTTCCTGCCCTCGTTTGCCTGCAGGGAGGTGGAGGGGAAGAAGGAGAAGGATGGAGTGGGGGTGTGGGCACGTGGAGTGGGGGCACATGGAGTGGGGGCACGTGGAGTGGGGGCACTAGCACCGAGATAAAGATACGGGGAAATAGGGATGGATGGGTAACGAGAGAGAGATAGCAAAGAGAGGGATGTTCTGACAAGATGAGATGAGAGGGGGGCTGTATGGATATGGCGTGAGGTGAGGCACTGTTGCTGGCGGAGGAGGAAGACGTGAGGGGGGGAAGATGGCGTGGCCTGGGGAGGAGTGGGGGGGAAGAGGGGGATAGGAGAGGTGAGGGGTTGGGAATCAGGGGAAGCAAGATGGGAGTTGAGTCTGTCACACATAAGCCACCCATAGTAGGCGTGTCTTGAAACAATATTAGTGATAAAAACAATACCATGATGCGCCTACTCCAATCCAAGTAAGCCAATACTGGTGGTAACCACATGTCACATCACAACGCATGCACGCACTTGTTTAGAGGAGCCTCAAGAGACAACACGCGCATACCCAAGGTTCAATCCTCAAGAGACAACACGCGCATGCCTACCTGCACTAGCATCTCAATGGTGGCCTTCAGGCGACTGAGCGCTTGATCCCTCTTCTGCTCATGGTTGCATGGCGGGGGAGAGCAAGGAATATGCAAGTCAAGTCAGAGAGAGAAGAAGCAACTCTGGAAGAGAAAGGTGGCATGCACACACAGATACACACAGTCACACCCACACACACACACACACACCCACACACACACACACCCACACACACAGACACACACACACACACACACACCCACACCCACACCCACACACACACACCCACCCAAACAAACAAACACACACACACACCCAAACAAACACAGACAAACACACACACACAAACACACACACACACACAGCCACACACACACACAAACAAACACACACACACACACACAAACAAACACACACACACACAAACAAACAAACACACACACACACACACACACACACACACATTGCCACCCACCTGTGTGTTGTAGAATGAGCGGCGCCAGGCCTAATCCACCAGGAACATATTCCTTTCCTCGTAGCCTACACTACACACACACCCATTGCCATACCCCTTTACCCCCTCCCCTCCACCCCCCACCTGTGTACTATAAAAAGAACAGCCGCCAGTCATAAAGCCACCATGAGCATGTTGTACTCCTCGTAGCCTACACACATGCACACGTGCATGCACACGCAAACACCCACAACCGTTCCCACCTGTGTATTCTGGAAGGACAGCCGCCAGTCATAAGCGGCCATGAACATGTTCCGCTCCTCGTAGCCGATCTTGGCCAGCTGCTCGATGATGACGGCCCACACAAAGTAGCCCGGCAGGAAGTAGTCCGCTGCTACCAGCCCTGACACGGGCCGCACCCTGATGCCGGGGGGGTCCAGGCCCGTCTCGTTGTCCAGCAACATGTGCTCCATCCAGCACCCGGGCCTGATGTGGTTGACGGGGGTGGGGGTGGGGGTGGGGGTGGTTGCGGTTTGCGGGGATGGGGGAGAGGGGGTGTGGGGTGGGAGGGGGGGGGGGGGGGGGGGGGGGGTGGGGGTGGGGGGTTGTGAGGAGAAGAATGAGCGAGGCCCGATGTTCAGCACCGGGTCGTTCCGAGCGTTTTTCTTCCGTTGGGTCACGTGGCTGTGTGGGTTGGCAGCAGTTAGTTAGTCCAGCCCTTGTACTGGCCGCACACGAATGCCTGGCGGGTCCAGGGCCAGGCCTGTGTCCTTGTCCAGCACCATGTGCTCCATCCAACACCCAGGCTGGGGGGTGGAGAGGAAAGGGGGGAGGAGATTGGGGGAGAGGTGTGGAAAGCTAGATAGCATGGGCCACTCAAAGCACCTCGGGACGGAGCACCCTGATGCCCAGGGTGGTCGTGCCCAGGGTGGTCGTGCTGTGCCCGGGGTGGTCTAACCCCTTGTGCTGTTCCCTCTCCAGCAGCGTGTGGCCCCCACGCATCCAGCACCTTGGTCTGCAGCGAGAGGGCGCCATGGAGTCATTGAGGCACGGGGAGAATGGATGGGATGGAGGGGCTGGGCATCATGCCCCCAGCCTAACCTAACCCTGCTCCCCTTGCACCCAACAGCCAGGCGCATGGAGTGAGGAGGACAGCGAGACCAAGGGAAATGAGCTCCTCTCGGTGACTATGAGCACGTCCCTTTCTACCCCTTTTCGCCAAATGCAGATCTGCAAATCTGCAAGTTTCACCAAGGACACTTCAGGCTTTTTCTTTCGCCAGAGGCTATATTTGTAATTTCTGCTCGAAAGGCCGTATCCATCACAATTCTAGACTTCTCCCGAGTCCCCTCCTTCCCCACCCCAACACACCAACAATGGCATCACACCCTCCTCAACACGCCAGAAAGGCCGTACCCATCACAATTGCATTGCGTGCCCCACCCACCCACCCCCCACCCCAACACACCAAGAATGGCATCACGCCCTCCTCAACACGCGACGCATCTTCCCTGTGAGCCCACGCACCTTCGGTAAGCATCCCCGAAGGTTCCCCCCCACAGCCTCTTCCTGAAGAGATCCGCCGCACATGGCCGCCCCTCCCACAACTCCAATCCGCCTGGGGGAGGAGGGAGGGGAGGCGGATGGGGGATGGAGGAGGAGGGAGGAGAGGAGAGGAAGGGGGACGGGGGAGGATGGAGGGGCGGGAGGCGAATTTGAAATAATGTATAAGCCAGCTCGTTAATCAGGCTGGGCCGCCCCTCCCACAACTCCAGCCCACCTGTGCGCGGAGGGAGGGGAGGGAGAGGAGGGAGGGGAGGGAGGGGGGTGGGGGGGGGGGGTGAGGGGGATGGAGCAGGAGCGAGAGGCGGGAGCCGGATTTGGGAAATCATGTGCAAGCTAAGGCCAGCCGCTCACGGCTGCCTTTCCCACAGCTCCAGCACGCCTGGGGGGGGGGAGAAGAGGAAGGGGAGCGAGGGAAGGGAGGGGAGGGAGCAACTTTTTTTGCCGCCACGTGATATTCGCATCACAGAAGTATTCACTCCTCCCCCCAGCCTCTTCCTGAAGAGGTCCACCATGCATAATCGCCCCTCCCACAGCTCCAGCCCGCCTGGAAGGGGGGAAGGTGGATGGGGGAGACGGGGGAGGAGGGAGGAGAGGGAGGCGGATGGGGGATAACATGTTCATGCTGACTCTATAAAAGGGTGGGTGCCCCACACACGGTCAACTGCAGCCCGCGAGGGAAGGGGGGGAGGGGAGGGAGGGAAGGGAGGTGAGGGACGAAAGGTAGTCGAATGGGGGGAGAGGGGGAGGAGGGGGGAGAGGGAGGGGGGAGAGGGAGGGGGGAGAGGGAGGGGGGAGAGGGAGGATGGGGAGAAAGAGAGGAGGAAAACAGGAACGAAGGAGGGGTAGGGAAAGTGGTGCTGGGAAAGGGCGACGGTGGGAAAAACAAAGTTGCGGTGAGGTAAGGGGAGGAGCTCCGGCAAGCATCAAAGTAGTGGCACACAACCATGGTCCGTGCAACCCCCAGAGCATGTGAGGGGGAGGGGAGGGCGTGAGAACGCATGCAAAACAGGTCAGTGGAGGAGGGGAGAGTAAGAAAGGACGGAGAGCACGTGAGGAAGGGGAGGAAAGTGAGAGAGCATGGAGACTAAGCGAGGGAGGAGAGGGGGGGGAAGAAGAGAAGGGAGGGGGAGGGGGAGGGGAGAAGGGGGGAAGGGGCTCAGAAAATATGAAGGGGCACGAGGGAGCGCGGCTGCACATGTTAAAAGCGACTACACCTAGCTGTGACTATAGCCCACCTGTGACTATAACCCACCTGTGACTAAACCCACCTGTGACTATAACCCACCTGTGACTATCCCCGGAACGAAAACCACGGGGTGTTTAGCTTTCACGCCTTCCGCCGCCAGCCGCGCGCCGGGCGGCTCCACCTCGGGGAGCCCCACGAGCGCGTCCTGGATCGCCTGGATTTGCTGACGTGGCATGAGGTGATAGGCGAGCATGAGCAGGAACCAGAGGAAGACGGCGTTGCCCATGGTCCAGCAGCACGAGTCGATGCACCCCCACCGCCCGCCCCTCCTGCTCTCGCTCCTCTCAAATTTCCCGCTCTTCTCCCCACCGTTCTCGCCTTTCTCGCCCTTGTCGGTTTTGTCTCCGCCCTTTCTGTCCGCTCCCCATTGTTGTTGCTGCTGCTGCTCCTGGCGGCGCTGCTGCTGCGACGGCTGCTGCGACGTTTGCTGCGACTGTCTGCCTATCTGTCGCCGTCGCAGGCCGCCATCCGAGCCGGCGACAGTGGCGGATGCGATCCTGGGAGCCGCCGTGGCCTGCTCGCGAAGAATTTCGTCGAAGCTCCTGCGACGCCTGGGAGCGTGCGAAGACTGGCCTCTGCCGTCCATGTTCGCCGTGCGACGATTATCGAAGCGGGCGCTACGGGGTTCAAGCGAACAACGGAACGGGGCCCGCCTCGAATGTTTTGGTTCGCGAGGAGTTACGGACAGGAAATACACTTGAACAAGTCAGGCTTGGGATTTCACGACCGAAATTCACGGCTTTCGACCCAGCTCTCGCGAGGGATCAGCGAGGGCGAACTAGGTCGTAGGCGCCTTCGTAGGTTTTGGTTATGCTATTCTTGATTTTCACGCATAGTTAGGCTGTGCGAGCATGGCGATCTGACGAGAGTACGCAACAAGCTTCGTGAACGAGTTGAGTTAGAAGGGAGGGATGATAGCGAGGATGCCAGCCGTAGTCTTTGCAATGGGGTTCAGCTTTCACAGGCGAATCTGTTTTGGACCATTAATCTGACGTTTGAAACGAAAGTCGTGCGAAGCGAAGGCGTACCGCCGTCATCTCGTTAATCACAGCCAATATGGGGGCGGGTGAAGCAAGGCGGTGCACTGCGAAGAATATATGCGAAACAAAGTGACACCCTTGGGAACTCACCCTGTGGAAGGACTTTCATCTACCCTCGTCTGATTTCGCTTTAAACACGCCCGACCCAAGCTTGGTTTATGACACCGACTGAACCAAGCTCGAAGGATGCTTTTGTTTGTGGTGGGGAACGAAGAGTGTTCGCGATCTCCCTGGTCCACCAATCTAAGACATGCACGAACCATTCTGATTGGCTCCAGCTGTCTTCTTCCCTCGGTTCTATGTGGGCTCGCCCATAAGAACCTCCCAGATTCCAGGGATTGCAGAAGTTAACACAACTCGATTCAGCCGACCGTTCGCGAAACGCAAATCAGGAGAGAATTGCTCCAGGGCCTTGTTTGGTGATTCGCTCTTGCCCACGTGTCCCCGAATTGCTCGCGTGGCCATCCAATTCAGTGATAATTGCTAGAGTGGCCACGCCAGGGCATTTTCGAGGTGTTTTTTTTCCTCCGCACATTACCCTACAAGGGTTTGTACCCCCGAAATTCCTCGTTCGCACGATTCTCATCCTGTGGTAGTGTTTCGTACTATTTCCCACCCGAAAATTTCGGGTGGGTGGCGCGCGCGAACGTGGCCCACACACTGTACACGAAACCGACAAAAATGCACGACCAACAGTAGATGCGCGGTCATTTTCGGCCCAATGCGCGACCAATTAGCGTGTGTTTTAATTTTAACCTACTTTGCCAGAGTTTAAGTTTGTGCGAGTGTTTTTAGCATATGATTTGCGAGATCATATAGTAAATTGAGTTTCATTTGCGCGGTCAAATATGGTCGCAATCCTTAATGATGGCACCTGATTGGACGCGTAATGCCAATAATTGCACCGCACATATTATTGACAAATCATACGCGGTCGTTAGGGCTGTTGCGCTTTGATGCTGGTCAATTGAGGTTTATAATCGTTGATTTATTTGCTCGAGCGCTTATTGGTTACGAATTTGTTTGACCGCGCGCTCATTGGTCGCGCATTGGGCCGAAAATGACCGCGCATCTACTGTTGGTCGTGCATTTTTGTCAGTTTTTTTTACAGTGTGTGGGCCACGTTCGCGTCCGCTACCCACCCGATTTTTTTTTTTTTGGAATAGTACGAATCATTACCACGGGATGAGACTCGTGCGAACGAGGAATTTCGGGGATAAAAACCCTTGTACGGTAATGTGCCGGGGAAAAAAAAAACACCTCGAAAACACCCTGGCGTGGCCACTCGAGCAATTATCACTGAATTGGATGGCCACACGAGCAATTCGGAGACACGTGGGCAAGAGCGAATCACCAAACAAGGCCCTGGAGCAATTCTCTCGCAAATCAGGGAGAGCTGATTGTAAAACGAGATTTGTAACATTGTTTATGATGTTATAAGCTGAATCAAAATCAGCAACAGATGGACGGAGTTACGAGCTGTTAATTTCCAGGCTCAATGTACAGCTCCGGTGCTATACAAGGGAGGAGCAATAGAGGGTGAGAGCGACCTTCACTCACCTAGTGTCGGCTGTGGCAGCCCTGAGACAGGAGGCGATAGGTAATCCGAAATGCGACAGACGGAGGCAGCTCTTGGAGGAAAAGGAGGCGATGTTGAAGGAGTACCTTTCATAGAGACGAGACCGTTTTCAACTTATGGCTGGTCTGGATGCGGAGCTTACCGGAGAGATCTCGTCGAAGCAGTTATCAGCACAGGTCAATGCGCAAAAAAAAACTGTTGGAATAACCGATGGCTATCATAACATTCCCGAAGGCTTCCTCTAAGTGCATCGCTTCATGACGAGGCAGCGATCCTGTGCGAGTATCGCGTTAAGCTCATATAGAGCACACGGCAGCCTGAAAGCCACTCGTGTCAGAATGTTATATTTGTCTAGCCTGCAGTGGGGTACTCAATAGCGAGTACAGCCCAATTTAGGGTTTGCTATATGTACTCAACTGCCTGCTAGTGAAACCCCTCTTCTCTGTTTCATTCATTCGTTCACTATTCTGACATGGTATTCTGAGCAGGTTCCCTAGTGGGAACGTTTTTCTTTGGGCCCACCATTAGCTTCCGCTGCTGTCCTGCCTATCGCGCGCCTCGGGCGCGCGCCGTTTTTCTGCCTGCCGCGCGCTCATGGCGCGCGGAATTTTCTCTTCCCACCGCGCGCTCGGGGCGCGCGGCGGTTTTCTGCCCATCGCGCCGCCCTGCAGGCCGCGCGACGCCCTGACCTGCCCGTCGTGCGCCCCGTGGCGCGCGACGTTGCCCTGCCCGTCGCGCGCCCCGAGGCGTGCGACGGTTTCGTCGCCTGTCGCGGCGCCACAGGGGCCCGCGCGCGGCCCTCTCCCCCCTTTCGTCGCCCGTCGTGGCGCCCTCGGGGGCAGCACGTCCCCCCCCCCTTCCCGTCACCCGTCGTGGCGCCCTCAGAGGCCCGCGCGCGGCCCCCTCCCGTCGCCCGTTGTGGCGCCCTCGGGGGCCGCGCGTCCCCCCCTCCCGTCACCCGACTTGGCGCCCTCGGGGGCCCGCACGGCCCCCGCTCCTTTCGCCCGTCCAGGCGCCTCGGGGGGCCCGCGAGCCCCCCCTTCTGCAGCCCGCGAGCCGCCCCTTCAGCCCACGAGCCGCCCCTGCAGCCCACGTGCCGCCCCTGCAGCCCGCGAGCCGCCCGTGCCGCCTCCTGTCTACGTAAACCTGCGGGGTGGCGGGTATGGGGGTGGCGGGTGTGTGAGTCGTCCCTTACTCCTCCTCCTCCTCTGTCTCCCACTGCTGCAGCTGCCACTGAGGGGGGTGGATGTGTGGGAGCCGAAGGAGTGGTGCTAGGGGGGTGTGTTGTGGGAGTGAAGCTAGGGGTGCAGCAGGGGGTGTGAACGGGAGTTTTGGGACAGTTAAGGGGAGGTTGGGCAGAGGCAGCCGTCGTGTCGCCAGCAGCGCCAGTAGTCCGGAGGCTACAATCTCCGGTAGCCCAGCGAGCCTGCTGCGCCAATCGCCTGTGGGTCCGTTACTCCTGCCGCTCAGAGTTAGCTGCGGAGCCAGTTACTCCAGTAGTCCGGAGGCTACAATCTCCGGTAGCCACCGTGCGCGCCGCTCCTGTTGCCCGTGTATCTGCGGCTTCACCCGTCGCCTCCTATCTCCACTCCTCTCACAGTCCCTCCTCCTCCTCACTTACTGTCTGTGACTGCCTCTAGCTTTGCTTATATTTGTGAACTATTGCTCTGCTTGCTTATTGTGCTGATTACACCCCACTTTGGCTATGGGGGTGTGTCAGAATGTTATATTTGTCTAGCCTGCAGTGGGGTACTCAATAGCGAGTACAGCCCAATTTAGGGTTTGCTATATGTACTCAACTGCCTGCTAGTGAAACCCCTCTTCTCTGTTTCATTCATTCGTTCACTATTCTGACAACTCGAAGGTCAACAGTCGCAGGTAGTCAACGGTCGCGACTGTTGACCGCCCAGTAACCGTATCAACGAAGCTGATCTTCGCCAAGCATCGACCCAAGCCTTTGCTGGCGACGTACGCGCCGCCGCCGACAAAGGTCCTGTGACACCACAGCAGGAGGAAGAAGAGAGAAACAAGTATTATAAGAGGACAGTTGGTTACCTCGCCGAACCAGAAATTTGGCACCAGCACCTTGGACACCCCTCACATGCTACACTCAAGAACTCAATCGAAGCCGAAGTCTTCGACACGAACGGGTTGCTCCTACCTGGCGGTGACATGCCCAAGGTGACATCTGCCGACCCGCCGTGCATCGTCTGCCCAACCACGTCACTTGCTCACAAGCCCTTCCTGGACTTACCTCCAGGCTACGAACGATACAAACCACTCGAGAAGGTCTACAAAGCTTTCATGATACTCAGCCAGGAAGGGCTCGACA